CGCAAAATGCTTCTGGGTTTGTAGGCAGAGTTGACCACCATACGAAGGATCTGAGCAGAGCAAAGACACTGGGCTTGAAGCTGTGGCCGGAAAGCATCAAAGACTGCACAGTTCAAGATTAATATCAGCCCTGTGAGGTAGGCCAGCTTAGAATAGAATAGAATAGAATAGAATAGAATAGAATAGAATAGAATAGAATAGAATAGAATGGAATGGAATGGAATGGAATGGAATAGAATAGAATTACAGAATAGAATAGAATAGAATAGAATAGAATAGAATAGAATAGAATAGAATAGAATAGAATAGAATAGAGTAGAATTACAGAATGGAATAGAATAGAATAGAATAGAATAGAATGGAATGGAATGGAATGGAATGGAATGGAATGGAATGGAATAGAATAGAATAGAATTACAGAATGGAATAGAATTACAGAATAGAATAGAATGGAATAGTATTATAGAATAGAATAGAATAGAATAGAATAGAATAGAATAGAATAGAATGGAATGGAATGGAATGGAATGGAACAGAACGGAACGGAATAGAGTAGAATTACAGAATGGAATAGAATAGAATAGAATAGAATAGAATAGAATAGAATAGAATAGAATAGAATAGAATGGAATGGAATGGAATGGAATAGAGTAGAATTACAGAATGGAATAGAATTAAATAGAATAGAATAGAATAGAATAGAATAGAATAGAATGGAATGGAATGGAATAGAATAGAATAGAATAGAATAGAATAGAATAGAATAGAATAGAATAGAATTACAGAATAGAATAGAATTACAGAATAGAATGGAATAGAATAGAATAGAATAGAATAGAATAGAATAGAATAGAATAGAATAGAATAGAATAGAATAGAATAGCACTGATGATGGAATGTAGTTGGGTCATGAAACATCTGCAAGAAAACCACCAAGCTCTGAGTGTACCAGGCACCGCAAAGTTCAAAGCCAGGGCTACAAATATTCTCTCCTACGGACAGAAGCTTCAATCTAGATTTAATACTGAGCAGGCAGGTGTTTTGGATGGCCTCACAGGCCCTTCCCACTTTGCCTGGGACATCTCACCATCCTTACCTCTTTAAGGACCAGGACACATTTGCCTGGCCCGACGGACTGCGGCAGTTCTGCCAACCTGCCTTTGTTGAGATGTGGGCCAGAGAAACAGCGGTGGTTGATGAAGAGCATGGGGCAATTGTACCTCCCATTGACGGTTCCTGCAGAGAAGAAACACACACAATCCCCAACTTCTTCCAGCATCCCATCTGGGCTACATTTGCTCTCTACCTTCCTCTTTCCCACCATCTTGGGACCTAAACAGCATCTGTGTTGATGGAGTTTATCTACAATTATTAAAATACAAGTGACTTGCAGTTCATATAATGTTTTTTTTCACTGAGCTATTTCACCAACTTTCCCTTTTGGCTATTTTTAAAAAAATTCTCAAATTCAGTGGCAAAAGTTTGAAGATTTGGGGGGGGGGGTCATATTTGAGGAGCTGAAGTTATGAATGCTGAGTTCATTGACTTATCTTCTAAGCATTTAAAGGATGGTGGTATTTCAGATCCAAATTAGAAAAACGATAATCTTTTCGTCGTAACTCACCCATCCTGTCCGTCTGGGGAAGCCGGTGAGGATTCTGAATTTTCTCAATAGGCACTCCTGATATTATCCTAATAGAGGACCAAAAAAAAAGAAAAGCCCTCAGATTACAAACCACAGTCCCCATTTATCAACTGACCCGAATAGACGAGAAAGAACTGGAGAAGATAACAAAATACAGAGACCTACAAATAGAAATAGAAAGACTGTGGCAAAAGCAAGCAAAGGTAGTACCAATAGTAATAGGCGCCTTGGGTGGAATCCCAAAACAACTGGAGCACCACTTGAACACCATTGGCACTGACAAATTCGCTATTAGTCAATTGCAAAAGGCAGCCTTACTAGGAACTGCTTTCATCCTGCGACGAGATCTGTAATACCATCAAACATCCACATCTGCCTATCCCAGGTCCTGGGGAAGGACTCGATAGGTAGACAAAATGCCAAATCCAGTCTGAACATCTGGCTGACTGTGCGATGATCCATAATAATAATAATTTCATTTCATTTTTCATTTTCATTTTATTAAATTTATACCCCGCCCTTCTCCCGGAGGACTCAGGGCGGCTTACAGCCAGTTTAAAAACAATAATACAATACCATACAAAATTTAAAAATGATTAAAAATAAATATTTGAATAGACCGCTTCTACTAAAATTTTGTTAAAACCAATTAAAATACCCCTAGGCCAGTCCTGCCCGCTGAAATAACCAAGTCTTGAGGGCGCGGCGGAAGGAGGGGAGATCCGGAATCACCCGGATCTCTGGGGGCAGCTCGTTCCAGAGGGTGGGTGCTCCGACAGAGAAGGCTCTCCCCCTGGGTGTCGCCAGCCGACACTGTCNTGTAATTGACATTTTAAGGGCAGTACTTACTGCTTTTCCGGCTGGACTATCGCAACTTTTCTCTTCCTTTGCGCTGGAAAATGAGCACAGGGACAAGGGTTAATTTGATATAACGCACGTTTGCAAATGGATTTTCCCGCAGGGAAATTAAAGACCCGCTCACTCTTTTTTTTTTTTCAGGAGCTCCAATAACAGGCAGTCCTCAGCTTATGACCGCCACTGAGCCCAACATTTCTGCGGTAAAGCGAGGCGTGTGTTACGTGGGTTTTGCCAGAGTCTACAACCTTTCTTGTCACAGTTGTTAAGGGAAACTCCGCGGTTCATAAATTAGAAACCCGGTTGTTAAGTGAATTTGGCTTCTCCGCTGACTTGGCGTGTCAGACGGTCGTAAAAGAGGGTCACGTGGCTCCCTGGGACACTACAACCATCATAAATATGAGTCAGTTGCCAAGCGTCTGAATTTCGATCGCGTGAGCTATGGGGATGTTGCAACCGTTGTTAAGGGTGAAAAACGGTCGTAAGTCACTTTTATCAGTGCCGTCGTAAATTCAAATAGTTACTACGGTAAATAAACAGTTGTGAGCCGAGGACTTCCTTTATAGTCTTAGAAGAGAGACAATGCATTTGTTTTTGAGTAGAAACACACAAAATCACCCACTAATAAGCTTAGCCGTTTGAGCATTACGGCCGTCGGGATATTCATTGCAATAAATTGCTGTTACACTCCAGTCATCCGTGCTGAGGCGTAAGCTTTGAACAATTGTTACTCCTTCATTCAAACATTATGCTACAGGACCCCACGGCGCCCTCCGGCTCTTTGCTCATAGTGAGTTTATTTACGGGATCTGCACTTAATAATAATAAAAAAACTAAAACAATAAGCAATATTCTTCCGTTTCAGAAGAACATAATTTGTGATTAAATTTCGCACGCCTGGTTGCCTCCGGGCGTTTCTGTTTCATGGATCGCATTAGAAGGAAACAAGGCCGGGGCAATTTTTAATTTTGCCATGCTGTCCTAATTAGGCACGCTTCCTTGTCGATTTAAAAATCACATTTGCTCTCCAAACAAAACGGTGCAGCAAAATGGAACCGGTCAGTTTCTCCATCCAACTTGTGAATGTTAATTACAGAATAACGGAATCACAGAGTTGAGAGGGACCTTGGGGGTCTTCTAGTCCAACCCTCTGCTTCAGCAGGAGACTTAGTCTATACCATTTCAGACAGGTGGATGTCCAATCTCTTAAGATAGATCATACTTTACCTGGCTGGCACAAACTTTTTCATTCTCCAAGAAAAAAAACCCCATATTTCCCTTCTTAAAAGGCTGTTTATAGGCTATGATGATAATGATGATGAATGCAGTGAATGCTCCAACACTGGAAGTTTTTAAGAAGAAACTGGACAGCCATTTGTCCGAAATGGTATAGGGTTACCTGCCTGAGCAGGGGGTTGGACTAGAAGACCTCCAAGGTCCCTTCCAACTTTATTATTATTATTATTATTATTATTATTATTATTATTATTATTATTATTATTATTATTATTATTATTACAACTACAACTACAACTACAACTACTACTACAACAACAACAAAACAACAACAACAACAACAACAACAACAACAATAATAATAATAATAATAATAATAATAATAATAATAATAATAATAATAATAATTGGGAGGGACCTTGGAGGTCATTTAGCCCAACCCCCTTCTCAGGCAGGAAACCGGCCTACACCATTTCAGACAAATGGCTGTCCAGTCTCTTCTTAGAAACTTCCAGTGTTGGCGCATTCACAACTTCTGGAGGCAGGTTGTTCCACTGGTTAATTGTTCTCACTGTCAAGAAGTATCTCCTTAGTTCTAGGTTGCTTTCATGGCATTAAACTACTCTTTGGTTTGGCTTCATGAACTCAACTGCATCTTGGCTTGTTGCTGAACTGCAGTTCCTAGAAGACGCAGCCAGTGCGGTTAAATACAGGCAGTCCTCGACTTAACAACAGTTCATTTAGTGACCGTTCAAAAGTACAAAGGCACTGAAAAAAGGGACTTATGACCGTTTTTTCACACTTAACGACCACCACTGCAGCCTCCCCATGGTCACGTGATCAAAATTCAGACATTTGGCAACTGACTCCTATTTATGACCGTCGCAGTGTCCCTGCNAGGAAGGAAGGAAGGAAGGAAGGAAGGAAGGAAGGAAGGAAGGAAGGGGAAATTGAGGGAGGGAGGGAGAGACGGAAGGAAGGAAGGAAGGAAGGAAGGGGAAATTGAGGGAGGGAGGGAGGGAGGGAAGGAACGAAGGAAGGATGCTTCTATGACCCCAACCTCTTTGACCTTAACTTTCTACCCAAGTGGCTTTTCTTTGGCTAACAACACCTACAATGAAGGTGGAGAACCATTAATGGCACTGGGCACGGGTCAAGAAAGATCACGATGCAGTAAAAACAAAACCAGATCTTACATTTCTGAAGCAGCACTCGGGAGCTGCCTCCGCTCCGCACTGCTTCTGGTAATCTGCCCAGTCAAAATCCGGATTAGAATAACCTGCAGGAAATCCCAGGAAACGAACAAAAGATGGTTTTCTCTCGTTTTGTGTGGATAGCCCAACATCTGTCCCTCAAGAATAACACAAGTATCCTAGACTGTTTACATCAGCCCGTTCAAAGCCTGTCCTTCGCAAACTCGAGTTTACAGGAATTGGATGAGCTGAGCCAATATACACAATTTAGAAACTTTCAAACATTATCTAGCCCAGGGGTCTTCAAACTTGGCCACTTTAAGACTTGTGGACTTCAACTCCCAGAATTCTGGGAGTTGAAGTCAACAAGTCTTAAAGTTGCCAAGTTTGAAGACCCCTGTAGCTGGCTGAGGAATTCTGGGAGTTGAAGTCCACAAGTCTTAAAGTTGCCAAGTTTGAAGACCCCTGTAGCTGGCTGAGGAATTCTGGGAGTTGAAGTACACAAGTCTTAAAGTGGCCAAGTTTGAAGACCCCTGTAGCTGGCTGAGGAATTCTGGGAGTTGAAGTCCACAAGTCTTAAAGTGGCCAAGTTTGAAGACCCCTGTAGCTGGCTGAGGAATTCTGGGAGCTGAAGTCCACAAGTCTTAAAGTGGCCAAGTTTGAAGACCCCTGACCCAGCCCATATGATTTTTTGTTGTTGTTGTTGTTTACAGTGAGTCAGTTGATGGCAGCCAGTGTTGTACTGTGGCGGCAAAAAAGCAGGGTGTGATGTTAGGCTACATCAACATAAATGTAAATCAAGGAGAAGTCACTCAGCTGGTTTTCATGCCTAAGGCAAGACTAGAACTTTCAGTCTCCTGGTGATTGGCCCAAAGTGACCCCACTGGCTTCCATGCCTAAGGCATGGAATGATTGGTCCAAAGCCGCCCAATCGGCTTCCAGGCCTAAGGTGGGACTAGAACTCATAGTCGCCTGATGATTGGCTCAAAGTCACCCAGCCAGCTTCCAGGCCTAACATGAGACTAGAACTCACCATCTGCTGGTGATTGGTCCACAGTCACCCAATCAACTTTTATGCCTAAGGCAGGACTAGAACTCACTGTCTCCTAGTTTCTAGCCTGGTGCCTTAATCATTAGACCAGGGGTAGGGAACCTTGGCTCTTTTATGACTCGTGGACTTCAACTCCCAGAATTCCTGAGCCAGCATGGCTCAGCTTGGAAGCCTCTCCCTTTCCCCTCAGCATGGCTGGCTCAGGAATTCTGGGAGTTGAAGTCCACGAGTCATCAAAGAGCCAAGGTTGCCTACCCCTGCACTAGACCAAACCTGCTGAGTTAGCCTCAAACTTCTGGTTCTGCCCAATTAAGTTTTAATTCTGCATCATGCCTTTTAGGAAAATGCTGGGCATTCTCTTTCTCCACAAAAAAGATGGCTGAAAATTGTAAGAGCTCTTCATAGCTTGCTGAGATTTTAGATATTCCTGTATACTGTAGGGCAGACACGTTTGTTGTCCCTTGCGGTCTCTCCATTTTGTGTGGGGAAAGGGACTTGTCTCCTTCACGGTCCGTTTCCTTCTCCGCCGAATCTCCATCTTGAATTTCTGCACGATCAGCCTAGGCATCCCCAGCTTTCAGATCTAAATATTTAATCGTTGGGAGCTGCTTGGAAATTGCACTCATTGGGAATAAGCCAGAGCGAAAAGCAAGCACACAACTCCCATGCAGAAATTCCCCCCACAGCTGTAAACGCTTAAGGAAAAAGAAATCTATAAATCTAGCTCTCAACCATATAAATAGTGTCATCGGAGTGCTTTCATACTGGGGGAAATTAATGGTTATTAATTTGCTGGCTGGCATCAAATCAAACTCCTGAGGGAATCTAAACAGCTCTTCTAACCGTACATTACTGTGTACGTTAAAAACAATGTGTACATTACTTTCCAATTATTAATCTATCTTAGTCACGTCTTGGAAGAAGAAGGAGAAATTCCCTTAGAAGCCAGAAGCCTTATCAGGAATTTGCTGATCTAATGCAGCAACTTTGATGGTTTTGATATTGCTCTGAAGATTAAGCTTTGCAGACAAGAAGCAAAAGGCTGGGAACGTATCTTTCTAGTCCAGGGGTCTTCAAACTTGACTCTTTTATGACCCGGGGACTTCAACTCCCAGAATTCCTGAGCCAACCATGCTGAGGGGAAAGGGAGAGGTTTCCAAGCTGAGCCATGCTGGCTCAGGAATTCTGGGAGTTGAAGTCCACGAGTCATAAAGTGGCCTATGCCTAGGCCAGAGGTAGGCAACCTTGGCTCTTTTATGACTGGTGGACTTCGACTCCCAGAATTCCTGAGCCAGCCATGCTGAGGGAAAAGGGAGAGGTTTCCAAGCTGAGCCATGGTGGCTCAGGAATTCTGGGAGTTGAAGTCCACGAGTCATAAAAGAGCCAAGGTTGCCTACCCCTGGTCTAGGAGGCTCACCACTTAGAACAGGAGGACTTAGGACAGGGGTAG